ATATTCATCCAAGATTAACTGAGATATAAGATTTAAACTTTTGTTAACAATTTTGAAACGGTCACAAATTAGCTAAAAATTAGCATATTTTAAAAATATTAATACAACATTAACGACATATATTGCACCAAGAGATGCACCGTCAAATACTCCATGTTCGGATCGTGTAAAATAAACGTCTATTCGTTAGGAAATGCATGTCCCCGACCAAGAATGCAGCGTCTTGCCCGTGAAATCATAGAATCGAATGCATCTTGAATCATCTGCTGCTCCAGGTTTCGGCATGCTGCAACAATTGCTTCACGAAGCTCTCCCAAATTGGTTGGTTGCTCATTATGTGGCACATCCCAAATTTTATGTTTTAGGTAGCCCCAAAGAAAAAAATCGCATACTGTTAGGTCTGGAGAACGAGGTGGCCAAGGCCAATCGCCCCGTTTACTCATCACTCGCCCAGGAAATTGGCCTCTAAGGTATCGCATCGTTGCATGGCTGGTATGACAAGACGCACAGTCTTGCTGCCACCACATGTCATGCCTATTGATATTTTGGGTGCGAAAGTCTCGCTGTATAACGTTATACCGTATGATGCGCAAGTACTCTCTGGTGTCGAGGTTTCTTTCAACAAAATGCGGACCTAAGACATTGCCTGCTCTGGTTAAACCAACCCACACCATGATTTGGTTTGAACCTTGAAGAAATTCCACATAATGATCAGGCGGGTGCCCATTGCCATAAGCCGCATACATTCTTGTGTTCCTTGTGTTTACTTCAGAATTTAAGCTGAACACTGCTTCATCTGATACTATTAAGTGATCAAGAAAATCTGGTCTCCCTTCTACGGTATTTACAAGTCGGTGGCAAAAAGCTAATCGTTGTGCTGGATCGCCTTCACGCAGCTTTTGCCTGCGTATCAGTACGTATGGATGAAATTTGATATCCAGTTGAACAATTCGCTGGAATGTGCGACGGCTCAATCCCAAACCATTTTGCCTCGATGATCTTTGGCCATTTTCTAATAGTGATTGTCGAACTAATTCTATGTTTGCTGCCATTCTTGCGGTTCTTCGTCGACCACTTCTTCCTTGGTTAAGATTGAGACATGTTCCCTCTCGCACAAACGTTTGAAAGGTTCTTAGCACTGTTCGTACAGTAGGTGCAGGGACGTCACCCCAACGACCGGCCCATCGCCGTCTAACTTCTTGAGCATTATTTACCCTTCCATATTCCAAAGAAACCCAAACTCTTTGGTCCTTCGTTAAACAAGGCATAATTATTACTTAGAAGCACACGAGGCGACATTCGCATTTTAGAATTCAGTTAATTCCCTTGGGACGTCGAATTAAAATTTAGAAGGAAACTTTTAATCAACCTTGCCTTGCAGCTTAATTTTTCTGTTGCCGAACAGCAAGCAAAAACGAGAAAGCATCTCTGTTACAAGGAAGATGCAATTTGCACTTCAACTACGTTTGTTAAAAAAACCTTTAAAATTATAATGGTGATGCGGTTATAAAATCAGTTTAATAGGCCGTTTTTAGCTAATTTGTGACCGTTTCAAATTTGCTAACAAAAGTTTAAACACTTATATCTCAGTCAATCTTGGACAAAAATGCCTGTCGAATATACCAAAATTTAAGTTAGACATCGCTGGATGCAATGAAACTCGATTTTGGGTTCTACTGCTTATGGTCTTTGAGCTATATGTAATCAAACAGTTATACTTTTTTTTTGCGCCACCCGGTATAGTATACACTGAACATTGCGACATTGCTGAACAGTATATCAATTTTATAGAGAAGAACACCATCACCAAGGCCATGAGTATCGAGTCCATTAATGCAGCAACTGTGGTTGATCCAGAAATGCAATCAGCAATTGAAAGTATCCAATCGGGTGTCTGGGCAAAGCATCATCAGTGAGAGAACTCGCTGTCACACCAAACAGTCTTTTGCTCCGTGCAAATAAGTTGATCATTCCAACAAGGCTTAGAAATGAAACCATGACACATGCCCACAAAGGTCATCAGGGCATTGTCAAAACAAAACAAGCCCTGAGGACGAAAGTGTGGGGGCCGCGAATTGACAAAGATGCGGAAGAGTTTATTAAGCATTGTCACGCATGCCAGTCTCTCGGGCATGGTGATCCGCCACCGCCTCTTCAACAACACAAATTACCCTCCAAACCATGGGATAGACTTCACATGGATTTTTGCGGTCCATTTCCCACGGGGGAAACACTTTTTGTTGTCATTGATTCATATTCAAAGTTCCCAGAAGTGGAAATAATGAAATCCGCTACTGCCAGCGCCGTCACAGAACAGGACAGAATTTTTGCAGTTCATGGTTTTCCCACTGAAATCTACTCGGACAATGGTCCACCGTTTGCTAGTGATGCAGTGAAGAAATTCATGCGAAATCGCGGAATAAATCACAATTTTCACAATTCACAATTTTATTAAATTTAAAGATAACAAATAAAATACAGTACTATGCGCAAATTGTTTTTTTTTATAATAGTTTCCTATAAGTATTAACGTTCACATTACATATATATATATATTGTTTCTCATAGTATAACAGAGACAAAGTCACCCAATAAAACAAAGAAGAAGTTTGTCGGAACTTGTCGAGACTGACCTAAAACTCACAGCAGCAAATGGTAGTGTTATACCATATATTGGTTGGGTTGAATTAGCATTTGCCTTGTCTTCAAAGAACACTCAGGTGCACGTGCCATTTTTTATTACAACTGAAACAATTGAGTACCCGATAATAGGCTACAATGTGATTGAAGAAATTGTGACAAATGAACACAATTTATTTATTGTCAGAAATTCAATCTTCATTTGTTGGACTTGACAATTATGCGGCACAAGCATTAATTAACTTTGTTCAAAGTGCTGACAGTGATTATTTATGCAATGTCAAAACAAGCAAAAGAGATGTTGTCATACCAAGTGGAAAACAGGTAAACATTCAATGTCGAGTTAATACAGGTCCAATTTGTGGGACTACCCCAGTTTTATTTGAACCAGATGAAACAATGCCTTGCAGTGGCGTGCTGGGTACTATTTATCTGGGGGGGGGGGCAGTCGGCTATGAACTAATATGTACCCCTATATTGTAATGCTTGATAAACGAGGGACGAAGGCACAAACCGAGCGCCGCAGGTGCGAGGTTTATCTAGGGGGTCCGGGAGCATTGCCACGTGCGGAAAATTTTTGAAATTAGTGTCTCTGAAATGCCATTTCATGGAATTTGTGGGAAGGTTTGACAGAAATCTGATGGTCAGGAAAAGGGATTATAACGTGTCGAAATTTGCAATTTGGTTATAGAATTTAGTACTAGTACTTAAATTGGGCAATGGTAACTAATTCCAGCGATTAATCTAAACCCAATTATATTCTCTACTGATCTAGTGATCTGAATGCATTTATACAATAGAACAGCTCCTTTATACAATAACACACGGACCCCACGCATATGCATTTTAAGGTTTCCTTGTTTGGCTGCCAAAAGGGCGCGTTTCAGCATCATCTTATTACTTACATTACTCATGAGTGATGATGTTTCTTGCACAAACAACTAAATTGCGTACACAACTTTATATTGTCATATAAAAACTATCTAATTTGCGCCGCTCTCGTGATTCGTGAAGCATAATAAAGGGCATAATACCAGCAAAGAAGGGAATAATTCCCGTGATCGCTCCGAAACCTGACCAATATTCCGGCAATGAGACATTGCATGTGATCACTGATCATATATGAACAATTTTGTGTGAGCCGTGAGGTAAGCTAGCAAATTATAGCAAATACGGTTAGACAAAATAGTCTGCAATTTAATATATCACTTTGTTGCAGTCTATGCGCTTAGTGTGTTTTATAGCCTATGAATTAAACACATCTTTTCTTGGCGGAAGTAACTGTATTTTTGCAAATGCGTTTTTTCCCACCCACTTTCAATATTTGGCGCCCCCTTTTCATTTTTGCGCCCTCCAAGAATTGCCAGCTGGGGGGGGCCTGCCCCCCGGCCCCCCCTGCCAGCACGCCACTGATGCCTTGGCCCTCCTGCCTAGAAATCAATGAGACATTGCTAACAGTAAAGAAAGGGAAGACTAATTTTATCGAAGTGCAAGCGAATAATTTTCACAGAATGACGACGACATTGGGTGTATCCCAGATCTGAAAGTAACAATCAAATTGAGTGACGAGACACCAGTACAAAAGAACTACACGGCAGTGCCAAGACCACTTTATCCTGAGGTTAAAAGTTATGTTGAAGAACTCTTGAATAAGAACTTTATCAGGAAGTCAACATCCCCTTACAGTTCGCCTGTAGTATGTGTCCGAAAAATGGACCAAACACTTCGGTTCTGCATCGACTATCGAGAACTAAATAAAAAAAGCATCCCAGATCGCCACCCTATACCCAGGATCCAAGAGACACTTGACAGTCTTGGGGGAAATTCATGGTTCTCGGTATTGGACCAAGGAAAAGCATACCATCAAGGTTTTATGAGTGTGGAGAGCCAAGCCCTAACTGCCTTTATAACCCCTTGGGGCTTATATGAATGGGTTAGAATCCCATTCGGTCTTTGTAATGCCCCAGCGGCATTCCAAAGATTCATGGAAAACTGTTTGGATGACTTGCGCGACACAATATTTATCCCGTATCTTGATGACGTCATCGTATTTAGTGCCACGTTCGAGGATCATGTGAAACATCTTCGGAAGGTATTTCAGCGTTTAAGGGGAAAATGGGGTAAAGCTAAACCCCAAAAGTGTAAGTTGTTCGTTTATTGTGTGCACTGACGCGTCTGAAGAGGGACTGGGAGCCATCCTGTACCAAAATCAAAACGGTGAAACAAGAGTTATTGCGTATGCTTCTCGAAGCTTGACACCCGCCAAACGAAATTACCATCACCATTCGAGCAAGTTGGAATTTCTTGCACTAAAGTGGGCGGTCTGTGACCATTTTCGGGACTATTTGTATTATGCCTCGGAATTTACAGTCTGTACTGACAACAACCCACTCACGTACATCTTGTCTTCCGCAAAACTTAATGCAGATTTCAATTTCACTATCAAATACCGCCCCGGTAAAGTGAACACTGATGCAGATGCGCTGTCAAGGTTGTTGCCAAATGTCGATAGTTACATGGAGATGTGCACAGAGGAAATTGCAATGGATACTCTCCAAGCCATAGAATCATGAATTTTGGAACAGGAAGCGAGTAACATCAGCTGGATCACAGCTTTTACTACTAATCAGGATGTGTTAGAAGAAGATATGAAGCACATTAACAGTGTTTCCATGAACACTATTTCTTGTGGCGAGATCATACTTGCCCAAAGAGACGACACAGAAATTAGTAAAGTAATCAAATGGATTGAATCGAAACCTACTTCGGAGAAAACATCTAATGAATCACGCTATACACGGTACCTCCTGTATGAGTGGAACAAGTTGGAATTGGACAAACATGGATTGCTTCGGAGAAAAAGTGGTTTGAAGAATCAAATAGTTTTACCTAAAAACTCCATTGGTTGGTGTACGAGGAACTTCACGAGAAAATGGGCCACTTAGGAGCAGATAGGGCACTAGAACTTGCCCGTGCTCGGTTCTATTGGCCGCACATGCAGAGAGATGTAGAACCTTACATTTCACATAAATGTCGTTGTGTGAAGCAAAAAGTTCCTACTTTCCAAACCAGGGCACCATTACAGTCCCATTACAACAACTGCTCCATTCCAGATGGTGTCTTTAGACTTTGTTCATCTTGAGAAAAGTAGTGGCGGTTACGAGTATATTTTAGTTATAATGGATTATTTACCTGTTATGCACAAGCCTATGCAACTCGAAATAAGTCAGCTAAGACAGTGGCGGAAAAGTTATATAATGACTTTATTTTGCATTTCGGTTTTCCAGAAAAACTCCATCACGACCAAGGAGGAGAATTTGAAAATCACCTCTTCAAACAGCTGGAAAAACTTTTTGATTTTGGTATTGGACATTCAAGGACTACCCCGTATCATCCGCAAGGCAATGGCCAAGTGGAACGTTTCAATCGTACCCTCCTTGCCATGCTGCGAACCCTACCGGAAACGCAAAAATCACACTGGAAAGACCACCTCCAGAAAATGGTGCACGCCTATAATTGCATGCGTCACGAGTCAACTGGATTCTCGCCATTTTATCTCTTATTTGGCAGACATCCTCGTCTACCTATTGATATGATCCTAAACCTGGAGAGCGAGTCAACTGAGTCACTTAATTATAGAGAGTATGTTAACAACTGGAGTGAAGCGATGTTTGAAGCATACAAGTTTGCAAACGAAAAGAGTTCACAGAGTAGAGCGAAAGGGAAAAAGCTATATGACCGCCGCATCCGTAGTTCGGAGTTACGATCGGAGGATAGAGTTCTTGTACGGAATCTGGGTAAACAAGATAAACCTTGCAAGCTGCGAAGCCATTGGGAAGACAAGATACATGCCGTGGTCACTAGGAGAGGGGAAGATAGCCCAGTCTATACTGTTAAACCCGAAAGTTCCGATGGCCCGAGTAGAACTCTTCATCGTAATAGGACTTCATCGATTTTCACGAGGCTATCATGCCAGATGACGCGTGCGACACTTACTGCCAAAATGCCGCTTACTGCCAAAATGTGTAATTGCTCACGTTTCATGGCGTGGATTACACTTACTGCCAAAATGGCGGCCAACGCGTGCTCATAATCATAAAAAGTCAAGGACACAATTTTGGCTGAGTGAGACATCTGGTAGAATCTATCATCTGTGCCCTAGTCTAGATCTATTGTGTTAACGCTTGACAATTACACTTATCAATGCCTCATTGTTCATTGTTCATTGTTCATTGCAGAGCGCATCCGGGTTACTCGATAATTATTATGACTAGGAGTTACTATCGCAAGGAAAATGCTGCCTCACCCCCCGAAGGGATCAAAGGGCTGCCTGAATAAGGGGCTGTTAATATGATCCTGCTTTGCCAGGACAAGATGTGTGAAGCTGAATTATTTTGATGTATTGAAATAAGTTATGGTGCACAATATAGCAAAAGACTACAAAAAAAAAAGATTCAGATAGATTATAATTAACTGTAAATGAAAGGTTGTTCAGGCAACAATAATCAGGGGCGTCGGAAGCGGGGTGGGGGGCTGGTCCTAAATGTCTTTGGGCCACCCACTTTTTAACAATTGTCAGTAAACGTAATAAACACAAAGGACATTTTGTTAGCTTTAGAACTCTGTAAATCTCCTAAAGTGCAGGACATGGCATTTCAGTAAATATAGTTTTTAAATTATCCCGGGGGCAAGCCCCTGGATCCCCTACACTTATCTGCCATCACCCGCCTTCCTCCCCCACTTTTACAGCCGTTCCGACACCCCTGGTAATAATAGGCTGCTTGAACTGCTAGATCTTCTATGCAACATTTAATTTCTGTTAACCAGCATGTTAACCAACTTTTGTTTAGCCTTATTTCAATACATCAAAATCACCCCACCTTCCAACATGTAAATAGCCCATAAGACACCTGTTCAGGAAGTAGGAAAAATGCAATTTGAATATCAAACACCTTGCACAAAGTCAAAGGTTAGCTAAATATTCTAATTTTACTTTCTTAGCATGGCCTGCATGGACGGTATAATATGAATACTTTCAATGCTTATAATTTCTTACTTTTGCATGTATAATTATAATACTGTCTGTGGCAAAGCTAGCCATAGCATTTATATTTGCATTATCCAAATGATGCAGGTTTATTAGCATAGCATGACCAATTGCCATGGCTAGCTTGCCACTAAATACTGTATAATATCAATATAGAAATACTAAGTCAGTTTTTGTCCCAATTATTGTTTTAATGCCACCCCTATCACAGAACACCTGAACAATCTGCTAATGAGGAGACAAAATCTATTTGTTAACATTTTTTGTTTAATTAATACATCAGCTTCCGTTGACACCATTTATTGTAATGATTAGGATTGTACTCAGTCAGAACTGCAAAACTATATAATAAGAACGAAATTGTGAGCATTATTGAAAAATATAGTATACCCTGAAATGTAACAACACAGTCAAGTGAACATATGAGTAGGCCGTTGGAATTATTTCATATTATGCTAACAATGGGCATATCTCGGAGATATAAACAGACCGTCATAGAAAAGTCAGTTGACATGCTATTTTACTGCAGTCTGCTGGTAAGTTAATATATGCAGACAACAATCCACACTGGATTGCTATAGGAATCTTATTAAGCCTGATTATTAATTATTAATTACTGTAAAGATGTGCATAAATATTTCGTCAACATCATTTGCCAGTCTCAGCAACAGTGGAATATAATCAATGCGCTCTACCACAATGGGTAGATCTGTAGTTTTTGCCTCAATGGGCTCTATCACAATGGGCAGTCAATAGTTTTTGCCTCAACGGGCTCTACCACAATGGGCAGATCAATAGTTTTTGCCTCAATAGGCTCTACCACAATGGGCAGATCAATGACAATGTTGTTTTGTGCCTCAATGGGCTCTACCACAATGGGCAGATCGCTTTTGTTTTGTGCCTCAATGGGCTCTACCACAATGGGCAGATCGCTTTTCTTTTGTGCCTCAATGGGCTCTACCACAATGGGTAAATCAATGTTACTTTCCACCACAATGGGCAGATTTAATAATGTTACTTTGTGCACTAAAGTGACATCAGATCAATCTCATACGAAAACATGTTCCTACAACATGAAACACTGACAACTTTTGGTAAGTTATCTACAGACAAGAACTCGATACTTGGTTCTAACACAATTAAGCCGTTATTCAGAGCTCTTAAGTACATTTTGTCCCCGTGTAATAAGAGTTATAAGACATTGTTAAATGTTGTTTTTGACCAATCGATCAGTGGCATATTTTCGGCTGTTAAAATTGGCAATAAACCGCATGAAAGCACACTGTTCGCCTCTAGATTGGGCACTAAAAAGGTCATCGCCTTGATGTATATAAGCAGAAAGAAATAAAGCCATACCTACCTGATTTTTCTGAATATTTTCCATCGTTTGCCGTTCCTTTTTAAAAACCTTGACTTCTAGCTCGTCTTGTTCTTGAGCACATGGAAGAAAACATGCGTGCGCAATAGAAAAAGTTTCTCGACCTCCCCCCTCAAAATAATTAAGGTACTGAAGCTTACTTATTTCCCCGGAAATTCGAAATCCTGACAGACAGACACAAGATCGAGATTTCGACAATACATAGATTGTGTCGACTGGGTCAAGTGGACTCTGGAGAAACCACCGCGTGTTAAGAATAGTGTGCTGCCTCGCTACGCTCGGCAGCAATAAATCTATAGTTTAGAACTTTGTTAGGTCTGAAAAGGGTAAAAAGATGCAAAAACGAGATAAACGGTGAAGGAACATTTCACCCAAAATTGTGTACTTACGACTCAGCTGCGACTCGTGGCGTCCCTACAGGAAATAAAGAAACTGATGAGCCTTTCAACTTTACCTGTATCGACAAATATCTATCATAGGCAAACTTCCATTCATGCCTTCCCCCCTCCCTTATTTAATGTTGTTTAATTTTGCAAAATACCATTTTGATGAGAAATGGTTTTAAATAAGTAAAGATTGACTAAAAACTGCAGGCTCCCAACAACCTTTGAAACTGATTGTTTGAAATGAGTCTAAGCCTTTTTCGATTCAAAGAATATTTTTCAAGAATATTATTTCAAGATGGCTATTACTATAACAAGGAATGGGGATATTTTGTCTGTAACTGTGTGGGATCATCTCATCCTGCTACTAGTTTCCTGTTTACATGACAAATATGGGATTTCATTGGCTTATGTCACAGTTTATGTCGTGGAATGAAACACAGAGTTTATCGCACGTGTGTATTTCTAAAATGTTAAAGAGTTGCCAACCTTAGGAATTATATAGCTATACGTCATATCGCTAATGTAAATTTTAATGGCTGCCTATGATTACTATTGAGAGAAACCGTGTCTCTTAAAAAAAGTGAAAAATCATGACATAATTGTGGGCACATATGCTCGGTCTTCATTATAGACAAGGATGAAGAAAGTATTTTGTTCAATAAATACGCTAAAATATACTGATATACTCACCTGGATCTGACCTAAGTCTAAGAGTTGCTCTTGGACTGTGTGGAATCTATAAAAATTATATTGAAATACTAGACTAAGTTTTAAGGTTGAATGCGCATTCTAATGCGTATACGTATTAATATATATTATTCTATTACACTCACTGACTGACTAGACCAAAATCAACTCCTATTTATCCCATGACAGTATTTCCAGTGGACTAAGAGCTTGTTTTTGAGTATTTTACCCCAAAATCATTCCATTACACGGGTAATAACGCTCAGGTCACAGTGCTTCCATTTTCAAGGAAATTTCCTTTTCTAAGGAAATTCTAGTGTCGAAAAGGAAAATCTAAGGAAGTGAAAAAATCTAAGGATTTTTTCCGAACAACTTAAATATTTATCCAATGGCATTAGTGCAGAAGAAAGTTTCACTATTTCTTGAATTTTTGAGTCAATTATCAATTATGTTTAATCAAAAATCTGTTTTTAACTTTTCCCTCGTGTTTCCGAAAACTTCCGAAAGTTTTTGAGCGATGGGATTTAGTAACTTTTGGCGCCAAACGCTGTGAATAATTAATTTTTTATATCAATGGAAAGGTGTATGTGGTAAACTCATGACAAATATTTAATTTTAAACAGTATAATAGCCTGTGGTTTTTTAGCTAGCAACCATCTTTGTTAGTTGTGCTATTTTGTGCCTTTAAAATTGATTAAATCCTTTGTATTGCTACAAAAGCACTGCAAACCGCCTAATGAAATTTCAAGGAATTTTCAAGGAAATAACGTATACAATCTAAGGAATTTAGAGAAATTTTGATGACAAAAATGAGAAATTTTGATTTTGAAAATGGAAGCACTGGCTCAGGAGCCGGTTGTACGAAAGGCAAATGAAGTCGCTATCCACTGTTTAACTCACTATCCGCCGGATAAAATTTAAACGCTCGAGCAATCGCGTTGTACGAACCCTGTTTAGCGCTATCGACCGATTAAATTTTGCCTATCCACCGTGTAAACTTACACGGTCTATTGAGACCGTTTAAATCAAGTAAATGGAGAACTGGATCAAGTAAATGGAGAACTGGATCAAGTAAATGGAGAACTGGACAAGCTGACCGTGTGGCTATCAGCAAATAAACTATCAATTAATTTGAAGAAAACCAATTTTATGATCTTTAGACCAAGACAAAAAAAGTTTCATATCATATGGTTGATAAAGTTAGTTTTTTTGGAGTTATTTTAGACGCAAATTTAACATGGAAGTCCCATATATCCCATGTATCAAGAAAAATGTCGAAATCCATTGGAATTATCAAGA